CACTTAAGTACATGTATGCACATATGTATCTATCTATATATGCATATACACATGGATGGTGTTTCGTATATGCATACATGTCGCTGTAATTGGCATTCGTCGACTCCGCAGGTCCTGAGCGGCAACGACCTGGAAGCAGAAGCTTGGTACTCAGCGGGTAATTTCCTGCATTCCAGCTGCAGTCCCCACGAAGTGCCCAAGTCGGTGACCATGTACATCAGTGGCCCAAATGGTCTGTTCAGTCTTCGTTGTTATGACCACCTTTGACCACCTTACTGCTGAAGGTGCAAATTCCTTACTGGGAAGAAAGTGAACGAGACCTAAGGCCAACCGCCTGGCCTTGCAATGCGAGCCATTCCACTACAGGCCTCCGGTTGGGTTGGACTTGGGGTACTGTGATCTCGAGGATCCGAACCATGCAAAAGATCATTTTCTGTGGTCGAAGAGGGGCATGGGAAAAGTGGGGTGCTGCTCGGAACACAGCCGTAACAACAAAGACAGCAGAAGCAGGCAACAACAACACCAGCAGCAACGCCACCTCCAACAACAGCAGCAGCAGCAGCAGCAACAACAACAACAACAACTACTACTTCTACCACCACTACTAGTGCAGCTGCAACTGCAACTAAAACCTCAACTACCACACTGCATGCTGCTTCTGCGGCTGCTGCTGCGGCTGCTGCTGCTGCCACTACCACTGCCACTGCCATTGCGAATGCGACTGCGACTGCGACTGCGACTGCGACTGCTACTACTGCTGCTGCTGCTGCTGCTGCTACTGCTACTGCGCCGACGACGACGCCGACGACTACTACTACTGCTACCACTGCTACTGCTGCTGCTGCTGCTGCTGCTGCTACTGCTCCTCGTCCTCTTCTTACTCCTACTGTTACTCCTGCTGCTGCTGCTGCTGCTGCCGCTGCAATGACGACGACCACCTTTACTACCAGCGCTGCTACCATCCCCGCTGCTATGACACCATTGCCCAAGCCTTGGCTCAAGCAGTGCCCTGGCAAAAAGATGGCGTCCCTGAATGCTGTGGTTCGCGGGCATCTCTGGTGTTTGTGCATAGGCTCAGAGGTTTATCTTGCCGCACACAAAGACCAAAGCTGTCGGCCGGACTTCGGTGCAGTCTGCCCTGTGAATGGCATCTCTCCTTCGTTTACGTGGAGATCTACGAACAGTGGTGACAGTCGATCTTCCGGGATGATTCCAAGGCCTTCTGATGCTGCATGAGAGCTGGTGTTCTGCCCATTTCCTCCGATGCCATGTGGTCAGCCGAGCTTGCTGTGATTGGGTGTCGGCAAGCTCGTGACCTCCGCAAAACTGCCAGGGCATGTGCCGGCCTCAGATGTTATCGGTAACAATGGGGCTTCTACTACCATGCAGAGCAGCGGGAGTAAAGGGCTCTTCCTTTTGCGAAGTGCCCAAGAAATGGCACTATGCGTAGCTTTCGCGACTCCGCAAGTCCGAATCGCAGCGAGAGGTGACGCCCTGAAGCCCGAGAGCCCCAGACCTAACGATCCAAATTCCTGAACCCCTAAGCCCTGAACCCTAAACCCTAAAACTGAACGCTAAACCCTAAATCCTAAATCCTAAACCCTCAACCGCATGGTATCTTGATGGCATTCTGCTCAGACGTGTCAAACTTAGACCAGGCAGGCGCCCTCCTTCCCGAAGAGAGATACGAGAGGACCTTTTGGCTTGAAGATCGCAGAGGCAATGCTACCAACAACTAAAAACAAAGTACTGATGCGAATCATTAGATTCTTAGATGTACACAGGTCGTGATCATGGTCTTGGTGGTTCTTGTCGCTTTGCTTTGCATTTCCTCGGCTTTTCTTGTTTCGCGCCATGGCGATGCTGGCAGCATCTGCCCGTTCCGATGACGCAGACTCAGTGGGTATCAACGACAGTAGGAAGACTCAAAGCAGAAATTGCAAGATCAGTAAGAAGTAGAGGATCGAGATCTAGTCAGATAGCAACGCGAAGCACGAAGGCTGGAGAAAAGAGTAGCATGCTAGGCGTGCTCGAAATAAGAAGCCTCGTATGGCAGAGGTAATGAATCTGGCACTGGTTGTTGTTGGTCCTGGCAATAGTGACCCCAATGTTACTGGTCTAGTGGTGAAGGCGCGGGTGCTCGTCGTTGGCGTAAGTCTATTCGAGCAAGCCGTCACACAGAACCGAGAAACTGAAGATCAAGATAGCTAGCCACCGGGCCCGATCCTATGTTCCAAGTTTTGAGCATGCCAACCCTAAACCCTAAAAGCCCTATGTAGTGTGAGTTTGGAAGTCTGCAGAATCTATGTCCTTGAAGCCAGAGAGTGGATCCGGCAAGACTGGGCAAGGTACAGACCGGCAGCTTCGGCAAACGAGCCGTGTTGCTGCAGCTCGGCTTCTATAATATGATATGATAAAACATAATAAAGTATTATATAATACAAAGTAGAAAACAGGGTACCATACAATAGTAATATCCTCTTCCCGCACTCCGCCGTCTCTGCCGAGGGCGACCTTCACAGTTGCTGCATCCGTGGCACTACTCTGCCTCCGTCGGCCATTCACAGGCCGATTTCTCCACGGTTTAGGGTTTATTGTTTATTGTTTAGGGTTTAGGGTTTAGGGATACGCTGAGGGTACCAAAAAGGCGTCCTATCAGAGTCCTATGCGGGTTACTCTGCTTTGTGCCAGTCGAAGGCTGCCCGTTTGAACATGGTTTTCGACTTCCATATATGTAACATAAAAGTTTCTTCTGTATACTATATATGCACATGTAGGATTGTTCTATGATATATACTATATAACACGTACTAAATCATCTATACTCCATACTACAATCTGTGTGCCGCTCTGCCAGGCAAGCCCCCACACGTGGAGCTTCCTAAGGCTGCCCCCGGGCGGCGCAAAGAAGACGACGAGGAGCCAAGTGAGGCAGGGGCTGGCAGAAGCACGCAACACACGTCGGGTACATACACCCGGAAAGTCCTAGAGTCGCACGCAGTCGACCCTAACACGGAAAAACCCTAAATCAGTGCATCCGGGCCATCTTGAGCACCAAAAACCCCAGCGAAGTGCACGCTCGCGCGCTGCTCATTTTTGGAGCCGGTCAGGAAACATTTTGGCAGCTTCTACCCGAGCTTCTCCGTGCTGCGCACCTCGGCAGCAGAGAGCCCGAGAGAAAGGCTTGCATAGCCACCTACGAAAAGAACACATCAAACAAACAATCAACAGCTTCCGAGCCCTGTGAGGGGGCATGTTTAACATTTTGATATCTGCTCATGTGCAGTGCAGGCTGAGGGGCTCTGGCCACGAGGGAGGGGACCAGAAGCCTGGAAGCCCAAATCCCTCTGGCCCCCTAAACGCTAAACCCGGGAAGGTTTCAAAGTGCGAAATCCCGCAAACCGAAGGCCCTGAGCCGCCCTGAACCCGAAAGTCCTGAAGCCCTAGATCCGAAATCCCTTAAACCCTACACAATCCTTAGAATTTTTTAATTCTATGATAACCTTGTAAAGAATCCTGGATCTAAAACACACCCTGATAACCCTACAGAACCCTTTTGGAACCCTCAGTTTTCCAGGCGTGGGCTGCCACAGTCCCACGAGCTCGTGTTTCTTGGATCTGACTTCGGTGTTCACTTCTCTCACGATATGCTTCTTTCCGTGTTTTTGTGGAGGGGGGGGGGCACAGGACAGTACTGATACTGGCAGCGATGGTGATGATCATAGGATTTGACCCGGAGCTTCCGAGGTTTCTGAGCAATTAGGCAGTGGCACAGTGCTGATGTGCACGCCGACTGACAAAGTGATGCTGCACGTGGATTTTCCTAGAGAGGTATGTCATCGGATTGAAGAAGGCTTGTTTCTTTTTTCAAATCCGCGAAACCCAATACACAGCGCCGGGCCCGAAACCTGAAATCCGAAGCCGTACATAAGACCCTAAACCATCCCAGCGAAGAGCTTTTCCAGGTGTTTTCAAGGAAACCTTTTCCAGCACCACAATGTAGTAGATGTTATTATAGGGCACATCGTAGAAGCTTAAAGGATTGTCACAATGTAAACCTCAACAGCTCCTGTCCTAGAGCTTCTCTGGGAGAGCCTTTGATCTGGAGCCGGTTCCCAGAAGCTGGAAACTATTTGGGGTGAAAGCCTTCCCATACTATACTATACTCTACTCCACTCTACTATACTATACTATACAAAACCACAACACTATACAAGACTACACTACACTACACTATACAATACAAAACTACACCAAAAATAATACCAAAACTAATCCTCTTCTTAATACCATTTCTAATTCTAATACTAATACTAATCCTAATGCTCATACTAATACTAGTACTAATACTTATACGAATACGAATACGAACACTATACTAAACAGCGAACCAGAGCTGCTGTGGCGGTGGTGGTCGTGGCGCCGGTGGTGGCACTGGAAGTGGCAACCATTACGAAGAAGGAAGATGTCTGAAAGGACCAGACTAAGGGCAGCACGGGCACTACTCGCGCCCCGCGCCCATTTTATTCAAGCCATTCAAAAAAGGTTCTTGCTCCCATTGTTAGCTCAGGGCCGAGCTTGTGGAGATGCTGGAGAACACCCAGGACTGAGCAGTAGGACGAGGAGAAGTAGTAGTAGCAGTAGCAGTAGTAGTAGCAGTAGTAGTAGTAGTAGTAGTAGTAGTACCGCTGGTAGTACTACTGCTGCTTCTGCTACTGAAACAGATTCTGGTACTGCAGCTGAGCAGTAAGAGCGAGTTCGAGTGAAAGAATCCCGCTGCTCTAGCTCTCAAGAGGGTTCAGGGGCGTGCATGGCTCTTGCGCCGTATCTTCAGGCCTTTCAGTTTCTGAGGGAGGGCGCGCTTACAAACCTTTGGGGCGTTGGCTGCCCCTTTTACTGCACTGCCCCTTCTCTTGGAACACTGGTGTCTTTTCTGCTTCTAGGACTCATCTTCGGAGCAGTTATTGGGGCCTGGGCCTGCCATATATTCTATACTTCAGGACTGGTGCCCGCGGAACAGGTACCGGTGCCCTCGCCCGAGCTTCGGCTTCGGGTGCAGCAGAGGAGACAGAGGCTGGGAGGCTACGTGCATGAGTGAGCCTGGTGATTGGGATCTCAGCGTGCAGATTGAAGGTCTGTCCCTTAGGATTAGGGGTCTTAGGCTAGGTAGCGCGCCTGCATCTTCCTCGCCCAACCCGCCTTCACCTTCCTCCTCACTGTCCTCTTTTACTGTGGTGCCAGCCAGGTCCGAGCTCGGGCCTTCCCCTTCCCGTGCGCATCCAGCCTTGGATTTGGACTTGACGGTCGGCGCCTCCCCCTTGCATCCTTCGGCTGTTTCGGCGCAGGTCGGTGTCTCTAGCAGTTCTTCCTCATCGGTTCCCGGTGTGCCTGAGTACCCCTTGCAGAGCTCCGCTCCCGAACCAACCCGTGTGCATCCGGTTCAGGCCTTGGATTTGGATTTGGCCGCCGGCCCTAACCCCGAGCAGGCTTCAACGCGTCTCGCGGTGCCTTTGTTCCCCTCAGCAGCTGCTGTGCCAGAGTACCCATTGCAGGGCCAGGTCCCCCTTCCAACCCGTGTGCTCCCGGCAAGTGTGGAACCTGTGCCTACTGCCGGCCCTAACCCCGCACAGGTTTCAGGCAAGGTTCAGAGCCCTTATCCCGCAGCAGCAGCTGTGCCAGAGTACCCATTGCAGGGCCGCCGTCAGGTCCAGACTTTCCTCTCTCGTCAGGAAGTCGCTCTTTCCTTTCCTTCGGTGCCTGACTTTTGCAAGGGCATCTGTCGAGGTTTGGGTCAGGGCCCTCCTTCTGCAGACGAGCGTGCCGAGAGAGCTTGGGTAGCAGGTTGTTGGGCAAGAGCTGTGCTTGAGGGCCTAGCTGACCGGCCCGACCCTACACCTCATATTGGGCTGCAGTCTCGTTTCTACTGCATCCTAAGGGCCGACGGGCTCACTGAACCTGTGGTGGCATCTTCCTTGACTGTGTTTCGCAGGATCATCGGCCGCGAGCTTGGGAGCTCGGTCTTGCAGGGATTCCCCTCCTCCTCGGAGTGCAGGGTATATTTTGCAGCAGCGGGCAGGCCGTACCCTGCCACTACAGCTCGGTGAAAAGCCGGCGCCTGTGTGCGCCTAGGGGATGGATTTTGCTAGCCTAGTTGCTGCCGAGGCAGGTCCTCCCGAGATTGTCGAGTTCCAGTGGCCCCCGGCCACAGAAGACCAAAATTCGAGCCAATGTTTGGCCTATGTAGTTATGAAGCGGCCTGCTGGTTTCTTGTTGTGTGTCCCAGTTGGGTTCATTGGGCAGGAGGAGTTGGATCAGGGCCAGCTGCCCATGGAAGCGGAGATGATCGGGCCGTCTCTGGAGATAGAGGCCCCGGCCATCATGCTTGGCCCTGCCGGCGAATGGACCTCTCCCCTGGTCCCCGAGCGTCTGCCTACCCTTGTGGTGGACCTGCCCATGAGTATGGCCGCGCAGCTTCTGCCAGCGGAGGTGGACACCCCTGGCCTGCGCACCTTCAAGGATGGGGATGCGGCAGCCTTCCCGTTGGCGGCCGAAGTTCTGAGGCTCTCCCGCGAATGGCTGCGAGACGGGGATGCTTTGCCCCAGAACCGATCGGGCTATCAGACTGCCCAGTCCGGGCAGGAGAACGGGCCCAAGGCCAAAGCCCAGCAGCGACCAAAGCGCCCGACAGTTCAGCAGCTCGCCACCCAGCAGGCAAAGATGATGGAGATCATGACGGCGGTGGTGGGCCGACTAGACGCCTTGGCTGCCTCGCAGCCGCCTCCCGGCCTCGACGCAGAAGGGCCTCAGTTAACGAAGCCTGTGGGGGCGCCGGCCGTTCTTCAGCAACCCCTCTCTTCAGTGTTGCCTCCAGCCCAGGTGGTCGCAAAAAACCTGGCAAAGACTCTGGGCCCTCCACCGCCTGCACGAGCTCAGCCTTTTGCACTGCAAGTTCAGGTCGACAAGGAGGAGGAAGCAGCTCTCGCTGTACCCGGGCCCCCGCAGGCGGATCAGCCTTCCGATTCTTCATTGACAGGTGCCGTGCTCGCTCAGTCGCAAGCTCTTGTTGCCCTGGTGAATCAGCTCTCGGCAGGGGGGGCCGATCCTCTGCTAGATGGCCAGCCGGGCCAGTCGGCATCAGTGCGTGGGTCTGTCGGCAGAGCAAGGCTTCAGCAGGAACTCAGCCTCCGCTCCGGAACTTTCGCCGACCGCGTCAGAGAAAACATGGAGCGGCAGATGGACCCGACTCGTTTGATGCCACCAGAGGCTGTCAGCTTCATGCGTTTTCTGGAGAGGCACGGCAGCTTTGCACATCAGCACCTCCTGGGGCTGATTGCCTGGCAGGTCGCTCAGAGCTTAGACCTGCTTCAGAGCGGCAGCGTGGACGGGGCACGCGACACCTTATCGCTTTTGATGGTGATGTTGGATCAAGCAGCCCTCGACGTCAACGACACCACCCTGGCGTGGCTGCTCACGCTCCAGTCCCCTCCGCCACCAGGTTGTTTCAGGCACCGCCTTCGGTCCCGGGGGCGTCCCTGCAGACCTTCACGTCCCTTGCGGACCAGCGCTGGGTATCAGTGTCCCTGGCCTATCTGAAGGAGTTGGACACGATCTCCTCGCAGAAGTCGGAGGTCAAATCAAGTACAGCTGCGCCGCCTCGGCGCCCACCGAAGGGCCCGCCTGCCCTGCCCCCTGCTCCACCAGATACAGAGGAGCAGCCTTTGAGTCGGAGGCAGGCCCGAGCTGCTCAGTGGGCGGCCGCCAACGCCGCAAAGAAGTCAAATGCACAGTGTGTGCCCCGCCCTAGGCACAGGCTCACAGGTGAAGGTTCGTGTTGGCCCTTTGCCTGTGTCTTCCTCAGCCTGTCATATGGTTGGTGCCTCGCCTCGACAGCCCTCTAGAAAAAAGCCGGCCGGTGCAAAGGTGTATGAGAAGCCCCCGGGCCTCCGGAAGGATGTGGCTGGCGATGTTAAGGTCCCGCCTGAGCCGTTCCCTTTGACAGGTGTTGCCCTACAGGAGGAGGCTTCGTTTTCTTTCGATGCCTGGATTTCGGCGCTGCCAAGGTTGCTCAAGGCGGCTCGCACCCAGGTCGGTTTCTTTTTGGTTTCAACTTTAAGCCTGACGAGGGCGTGGGACCTCCCCCTCTCTGCCGCTCTCTTCCCGCTGCCAATACGCTACCAGGGCGTGTTTGCGGAAGCTCCCTGCAGATCCCGAGCCTCTCGGCGAAGGTTGTCCGTGCAAAGATGTACCCACCCTGGTTGCCATGTGTTTGAACTATGTCGAGGTGGGCTGCAAGCCAGTTTCGTGCGCGGCCCTGCGGAGGCCCCTTAGCCCTAACCAAGCAAAGGTCTATGTTAGGCTAGAGGCTCTTGTGAGAGCGTGTGCCCGCCAGACCGGGAGCGTTCCCTGTTGTGCGGGCAGAAAAGGACTTCACACAGCCGCCCGTCTGTCTGAGGTTTTGGACTTCTTGCGTTGCGCTGGCATTGGGGAAGGGCCCTATGCGCCCCCTCCTGTTGCCACCGTTCCGCACATGCGCGGTGGACCCGAGGCACTGCGCCCCTACGGGCCGATCAAAGCAGACCAGGTTGCCCTTCACGGCAAAGGCCACTGGGAGCTGTCAGATTTCCTGGAGCCTGAGCTCAACATGCCTTATCGCGAGCCCGAGGTGCTCCGTTTTTCATGTGGCCATGCCGGCCATTGTGCTCCTGGCTTTGCTAGCAGTCTGCCTCACCTGGGGATGGAGGACAGAAGCAGGACTTTTCTCATTGGCTTGGGGAGCCCTTTTGAGGATAGGTGAGGCTACGTCGGCCAAGCGTTCTCTCTTGGTTTTGCCCAGGGACGTCCTGTGGACCCAAAGCTTCATCCTCCTTGTCATCCCGGAGCCAAAGACGCGGCTGAGGACTGCTAGACACCAGTCGGCGAAACTGGAAGCTTTGGACCTGGTGCAGCTTGTCGACATCGCCTTCCAGCACCTCGAGCCCGACCAACGACTGTGGCCTTTTTCAGCTCAGACTCTGCGACGACGTCTGGACAGTGCCCTGGAGAGGCTCGGAATCCCGACTGCAAAAAACCACAGCAGGCCATTGGATTTGGGCTCATTTCGGCCAGGCGGAGCCACCTATATCCTTCAAAGGACCGAGGACGCGGAGCTCGTCCGCAGACGAGGCCGTTGGGCCTCGGGCAAAGTTATGGAAATTTATTTGCA